ACATACATTACTAATACTTACTTTTTTTGAGAACTCTGACAATAAAGAAAGCAACGGGAGAAAAACAAAGATTTGATAAAAGCGTCTGAGCAGTTTTTGGATGTTGTTATTTCTTACCCAGTTGTGCATTACATGATAAGAGAAGAAGATAATGTGAGATAAAAATTGAATTGAATTGAGACATGATCATATAAGCTATATATCGAAAATGTACCTTAAAAGTAAGTTTGATCAAAAATCTGTCCTTTTTGTTTAATTCAAATTTTTTCTGTTTGCATTAAAAACTTCAATTAGCTCTGACCGCTGTTACTTCAAAAACATACTTGTGACAAATTTTCATTTTAGAAGTTATCTGAAGTTCTTTTTCATATTAAATAGTTTCTATTTTTGTTCTTACTTTTAGCTCCGATCATTTGTCAAATGACACAAATTTTTATTCAACTTTATCAACGATTACACCTAATTCCACTACCAATATTAATTTGAATACTATGACTGATTCATCTTCAAATCCAACAATTCAAAATCGTTTTGCATTAGCCTATTATATTTTAATTGCCATTACTGGTCTACTTGGTAATGCTACCACCATCATTGTATTTAGTCAACGACGTTTACGTTCATTACGTAGTAGTTTTTTTCTTACATGTTTAGCGATAACTGATTTAGTATTCATATTAATTCTTGTTATTGCTCTATTAGATGAGTTAAATGTACCTGTTCTTAACGCTATGACATGTCTATTAACAATCTATTTTAGTCATATTGCGTCCTTTCTATCATCAAATTTTACTCTAGCCTATACATCTCATCGTCTCATTGCCGTATTTTTCCCAATAAAAGCCACCACTTTTCTAAAACAACGTACAAATCGCATACTCGCCTTTACACTTATCGTATTTGCTTGCTCATTCTATTCAATCAGTTTTCCTGTGACAACGACAAGACCGAGAAATAATCAAACGTATCTGGTACATTGTGAAGAAGATAAAGAAAAACCATTATTGTTTCCATTCCTCATAATTGATACATTTTTTACATTTTTATTCCCATTTTCTGCCATAACAATAATGAATTTAGCTATTGTTTATAAACTACACACAAAACTAACGTTTAAAAAATTGGTACCCGCACATCCATTTCTACCAGCTAAAAGCTCAAATTCCTCAAATATGTCTTCAACAAATGAAAAATCAGATGTTGCCACATCTCAATTCAAATTAACATCGGTTCATCGTCCTACTTATCAATCATTAAATGAAAATGGTCATTTACCGATTTTGTCAAATGGTAATAATGAATATCAACATTTAATTCAACATCGTTCATTTTTAACTGTGAATCATCGTTATTTTAAATCACGTATTCTTTTAAATGAAGATGGTACTAAGAAGTCACGTCATCAACAACAACATCAACAACAACAACAACGAAGTAATTCTTTACAAAATAGCTCAATTCGCATACGTTCAACACATGCACGAGCAAATGCATCGGCTAAAACAACAAAAATGTTATTAGCTGCATCGACCGTATTTCTCGTATTCAATTTACCCTATCATTTATTACTATTCTGTTTTCTTTTTTTGAAAAAATATCCATCATGGTTACTGACAGCGGTCAACATTGCTCGACACTGGTTTTTTGCGTCGTTTTGTGTTAACTTTTTTGTTTATGCTATATGTGGTCAACGATTTAGAAATGAAGTATTACGTTTATTTTGTTGTCACGGTAAGAGATTATTTCAATATAGCGGTAGTATTAAATCGGCAGGAGAGAGAAATAATAGTATTTATACAAGCAAACGTCTGTTACCAATTTCATCCACTTACATATCAGGAACGAATTAATTTTATCTAGGAAAAAGATTATCCAAAACTACAACATTGCTTCTCTACAAATCAATAAAAAGTGTAAGACAGAGTGTTTAGATTTTAACATTCAAACACTCCCTTCTTTTTCAGAGAAAAAATAATGTTGATGCACAAGTCGTTGAAAACTGATATTTTCACATACCTTTCGTTTCTATCCAATTTAAAATATTGTATGAATTGAACAGAATAATGTTATTTATCAAGTAATGAGTATAAAGGAGTGCACGTATAAGAAAAATTTTGATTATAAAATTGAATCGTTTAACTTTTGTCATATGTAATATATTTTAGCTGCTGTTTCTCGAATAGGTTGCCATGTATTTGTATATTTGTTCTTGTTTTCATGTGTCGGATATGTTTTCAATGCATTTCTAAAAAGTGTTTTCTTGTATTTATGTGCGGAAATGTTTGTCTATATACATATATATATATACATATTTTTATTTTAAATTTCAGTTTTTCGACATATGCATTTTTTTGTTGAAAAATGATCAACATGAAATAATAATATCAAAATTTAGCATAGTATTAGATTGCCAGTATATATAGTCATAGTCGACATCTTGCTCCCTCGTTATCTGCAACAACAGATACTTATTGGCCTCTGTTCTATATAAAAGTCAAAAGAGATATGATTTTGCAATTATATATTTTTAGCGAAATCTACTAAAAACTGTTTTTATGCCCTACATTAAAGTTGTTCTATTAGACACTCCTATGATATCTAACTCCCATAAGCCACATATGTAATTCTCGATATATTACATAATGAGACAAATAGCTCTGCATGCGTCTTAAACATATTTCACAATTAATCAAATATCTCTATTTCATGGTCATTCAGAAGTGATTGTTAACCTTGTATTTCTTTGTCTTTCATAGTTTGCATTAGTACTGATAACTAAGTAAGATACAGATGTTTTACTAGACATCAATTTTACTGCAAAGATTGGGAAATCGACTGAATGAAACAGTATTAGATAACGATAAAATATTTAGAAAACTATTTGAGCGATGTTTACATTTTATAAAGAGTATGGAAAACAGATATAATAATATTACAGATACACTCTAAAAAAGTTCATCTTACTTCTGTACAGGTCTTACTTTTTTCTTTTATCTTACTTGAAGACAGATGACTCTATCAATTTTATTTTTAACCCTTTGGTTACGGATCACGCATATATGCGTGTTGAAATTTTGCAGATATTACCGTCATTATAATATTATTTAGACTCGATCGAAAGGACTCCTGTCTTTGTCTCTTATCTTGGTAACATTATTGCGTCATCTTCCCGCATTTCTATGTGTATATGTGCTCTCTCTTGCGTTCTGCAATGCCTGTTTCTCACATTCTACCTCGTTCTAATGCTATTCAAAGTAAAGTATAAAAACAAACTATTCGATTTGGCGATTTTCAAAGTGAATTGCTTTGGTAACTGATTGCAAGATGTGCTCAACCCAAACATCAAATTGGTCGTCCGATTATCGGAGATAATCTCATACGTCTTACTACACGTCATTTTCATCTAGTTCCAGCAACAGCAACAGGAAAAATTGTACGAAGAGCTTGTATAGTTTGTACTCATACAAGCAGACACGAGAAAAAGGGTGCCGATACACGTTATCAGTGTGATAGGTTATTTTGAAGATTATCATACTTTAAAACACTTCTAAATGATCTATATACTAATAAAAGTTATTATCACTAATTTTCCAATCGATCAGACAGTAATAAAAGTTATTTCACACCGTTTTAGAACGGAAAGAAAAGATTCATCTAAAAAAAAACTCCGTAACCAAAGGGTTAAATATAACTAAATCTTTGAACTATTTTATCTGAAAAAATTGCGTTACGATCTATGCTTCTTTTCCTTTTCAGTAGTTTCTACAAAGATTTATTCTCCAATAATCTTAGCTATCATTCGATGCGGTATCCTTTGAATCTTAAACCAATGTGTCTTTTATTTCTCTTTTACACGCTTTTGAATAAAAATGTGATCCGCTGAAGAATGTTGCACTGAATTGCGATTATATTTATTATAATAGTTAATAAAATGTATATTCTTGTTCTTTTTCTGCTTTGAATTTTGGTTGAATTGTAGAACTTGTATAATGTTCTTCAATAAATTAAATAAATTGATCACTATTCTTTATAATAAATCCTTTAAATATTTTGTAAACGTTGAAGTTCTTTCTATTAATGGTTATTTAAATAGAGTGTACTAAGAAAGGAACAGCTAAAGAGTCATACAACACACTTTAAACATACGAGAGAAAAAAATACGCTGCATTCTTCATCAACTGTGTTTCGAAACATCAGTCAGATTCTTTTCATCAAAAACATTCTTTTCAAAATGTATAAAATTTTCCTAAACTACGTTCTAATAGAAACCTGCTGTTGTAACTCGATTATCTCAAAACCGGCAAGATGTGCAAGCTAATCCATATATTCTATGGTTTTAAACGGAACCAGTTTCAGCTAAAATTTGAGCAGTCAATAGTATCTATTAAAAAAAAGATATATGAACGAAGCCTAAAAGGGTATAAATTCTATCAGTTTTTTGTCTAAATTTTTTTTTTGTGAGCACCATTTCAGCAGCTTAGATGCACTTTCATAATATAGGGTGGCGAAAACTGAGCCAAGAAAATACCTGAAAGTTCTGTCATTTTTATTTTTCGGGAAAAAATATAACGAAATAAACAAAGGCACTACTGATCCATCGTTTCAATGCGTTTAAAACGGTTTTGTACTGTACCTTTTCTTCTACGAAATCTAAAGGGTTTAGAAATGGTTGCACTTCTCTATACCCTTTTAAGTTTCGTACACAAACCTTTTTCCGATACAAATTTTTGACATTGCATACACTGTGAAAAAACAAGTACCCTTTCGGCGATAAATGAAACACTTAAAGTATCCCACAGTCGAGTACTTTTTTCGATGAGTCATATTTTTGTGCTTGAAATGCCCGAAGCAGGGCACTTAACGAGTCCCATTAATTGTCCATCAAAGCGCCCCCTTTTAGCTGACGGGACACTTGTTTTTTTGAGAGCGTAACATTTTAGAATGAAAATTTTGGCATATTTGGTACATTCATGCGTCTCTCAATGTAGACATTCCATAGCATAAAGATATGCCTTCTACGAGGACACATCAAATGTGCTTAGCATATATCCAGTTCATTACAGTTTCTAACGGAATGTAAGCAAATCAATATGTATTATCTAAGTCTTTCCACGGATGAACTCCAAAACATAACATGCAGAATAACAAAATACTTCAAGTTTTTTATACAACTTTGATGAAGGATCCGTATAAACTGCTTGCAGTCAAACAACTTAAGCGTTGTAAATATTTCACTTGCGACAAAGTTGATAATTAAGATTTGAACCATAATCAATTACATAGGGACAAGTGTTCGAGTTTCAAATGTAAAATTTTAAATGATGCCATTGCAATTTCAAGAGGTGAATGACAATAGACAAGAGTAGATTCAATGTGCCACATGATACGGCACATTCTATCTCAATCACATTTTAGGATATATATCATGTGCTATTTTACAAAGTATTCACAAGTACACGACACATTCCTTAGCCAGCATTTCAAATGTGTCCACAATCTAAAAAGGACACATTTTTTTAAAATGTGCATGTCACTTACAGTAGCGTCAAAAACATGCAAAAAAAATGTATCAGCTCATACTTTACACTGTTTCTCCATTGTTTTATGGATCATCTCCATCAAATTATCAAAAAATTATAATCATTCGATGATTTATGGGATAAATCCAAAATAATGCAACTTTCAAGTTCTAAGATTATTAAATAACAAACCTGAATAATCATTTTTGTGTAAAAAAAAAAAATCACTAATAAAAAAAATACTTGTTTTTTTTTTCGAATGAATGACATGCTGAGATAAGAATACTGTTTCAAACGCCTTTCTCCTCGTTGATAGACAAGACTGACACAATGGTTTATATTAATCGATCATGAAATGCATGTTGTTCTGCCATTATTCTATGGCTCTTAGTAACAATTACATGCATATGATTAAGATCTTTAAAATTATTCTCGCTTGCTGATATCGATGCTTAGATATTTTGACAGTTCATATTCATTACTCAAGGTTAATTTCCCTCTATCTCAAGATCAGGTATATACATATATTGTTTAAAGAAAAAGAAAAAATTAATTAGTTAATCAACTTTTAGAACGATGAATGACACACTGTTATCGTTTTCATCATGCTTTCCAAATGGTATGAACAATACGAGAATAAGAAAAGAAGAAGAAGAAAGCAATTCATGCACTCACATATATGCATATTTAAACAATTCTCTGATTACTTACTGACAACAAGAAGAAGCAATATTTTAACCTGTTTTTTAAAACTACTTTTAAATTGATCATTTTCTCATTTCAACAATAAACTAAATAACTACTACATTACCTGTAAACTACACTATGATTCGAATTTCTTTATATTTTCTGGCTACCTGGTGAAAAAACGGAGATATTCAAAGTAAGTAATTGACTACTGTGTAGTCCTACTAAATTGCTAGGACGAATATTTCAACGTTGTATTTATCTTTTTTTTACCGAACAATCGATCATAAAGAATCAGAATCGATTTGAACAACATCACTGATGGGAAAGAATTATTTTAAAAATATATGCATGTAAATGTAATTTTAAGCGAATTTTCACAAAAAATATATCTTAAAACAGATGATCTACTTATAAAAAGGTGTTTGTACACATCGAATAATATATTGAAGTTGGATGATTGAATATATATCAGTTAGATACAGTCCAAAAACCGGTGAATGATTCGTATGCGTACGTTATTAGATATAAAAGAATACAAATGGTGATATATGATAAAATTTTTAAACAACATTTCCTCTGTTTATTGTTCTAAATAAATTAGCAAAATATTTTTTGATTTCATTTTGTCATAGTATAAGGGTTGAACGTGTGATATCGTCAAGTAATATAACGTGTAACCCGCTCCGTTCATCGACGTCATTAAAAAAAAAAATTTTAACGTCAAAATTCAATCCCATGTCCATAGTGGTGAAGTTTCTTGCAGAAATACGAAGAAACAAATTTCCAAATACCGAAAAATACAAAAGAAAAGCGAACTTTTTAGGACATTTTTTAGAGATTAAAAAGCGAAAAATTAAAAAATAATGCTCAAATACGATACGAGACGTATTAATGCCATAAATACTTATATTTATGAGACAGATATGCGAATTTACACGACTAGAATGAGCGAGTTATTTGTTAGCAAAAAGAGGTCTTTGTTAAAATTCTCCACCAGTCAGTAATTTGCTGTTTAAATAGGATTTTTGATGCAGGCGTTTCTTTATGTCTAAATTCGACTTTTTTCAGCTGATTACTTGACTGATATGTATGAATGGAAGATTCTCATCATTATCCACTGCAACAAAATTTAAATATTTCCGATGACTACGATTGTCATAGTTCAGTTGAAACGTCGTATCAAGACGCATTAGCTCAATGTTCGTTATCAAAAAATGGAACAACTTATAAAAAACGACAAAAATTAAATAATGAAGGTTTTACTCCTAAGATAAAACGTCGTCGTCCATTATTAGCAAATCGAAAGAAATTCTCTCCAGTCGTACAAATTGAACGTAAACGTCGTGTAGCAGCAAATGCTCGAGAACGTCGACGTATGAGTGGATTGAATTTAGCATTCGATGAACTTCGTACTGTGTTACCATCATCCGTATGTAAAGGTAAAAGATTTTCAAAATATGAAACATTACAAATGGCACTATCGTACATAATAGCATTACAAGATATTTTAGATAAAAGTAACGACAATAAAGATATAATACTATATAATGATACAAATAATGACTCGAATGAAGTTTAAAACATGGAAAAAAAGTAAAACTATCAAATTATACTCTAAAAAATTTTCAATGTTCATCACTTTATTAGTTCGTCGTCATGCGGGATAATAAATTAAGAAGTCTCACAAAAAATTTATTTGTAAGCTTCTTTACAGGTTAAAGTCTCAGAAACTAAAAATTTTCAGAGAATAAACAATCAATTCTATTACTAATATTTTTTCTTTGGATTCTCCTGTTTTGAGTGCTGAACAAATTACAACAACAAGCAAACTCAATCCATAACATTAATCAAAATCAGAAAGTTGATGTTGAATAAGAACAGAGAGAAAAGAAGAAATTTCATTAAGTATTTGTAAACTTACGTCTATTGTTTCAATATGTATGTACAAAATATTGATAAATAAATGTTCAATATATTTTACAATTCTACATAATTTTATTTACTTAAATTTTCTTTCTTCTCTTCTCTGATGAACAATCAATTTCATTTAATAAAGACGCCTCTCTCTATCTCTGTAGTCATCAATCATATAAGATATTTGTTTAATAAAAAAACTGAATTAATTTAATATAACAATACAGCAATATATCACGAAAGCATAAAAGAGAAAAAAATAAATAAATAAATCATTAAATTATCGAGAAAAAATATATAGAATTTTGATCGAATAGATACAAAAATAAAATAAAAACAGCTGATAAAAAAAAAAATGAAAAGTCTATGCCACTCATATCTTACATTCCCAAGATATTTGTGAGAACACATTTCATTAAAAAAAGACCTCATGAGAAAATACACAAATATATCCATTTTTAATAATTTAGTAATACATTGATTTTCTTGGATAAGCATTTTAAATAAATCTTAAGTAGAAAAATTAACTTTTGAGCAATAAAATAATAAATATATCATTGAACTGTTCATCTCGATAGACAATAAGAACAAAAAATGAACAAGCTCATCTAATCTAATACTTAAAATGAGAAATAAAAGATGAATACACAGTTATCATACGATAAACTTGAAAATGAGACAACGATATTATGTTTGTTATTGACGTTTATCTGTACGATATGTTGCTGTTAATTTATAATAATATTGAGTATCTCGTAGATGATGTTCAATGTTCGTTCTTGCTTTCGTTAATACTTCTAAAGTTGGTCGGACTGAAAAAAAACAAAAAAAGAATTATTAAAATTTATAATAAGACTATAATCATATAGATATTTGTTTTTTGTTCGATGTCTAAATAATAAGTCACGATAGTATATTTTAGTATTTTATCTAAATTTTATTTTCATGAGAGGCACGTGAATATTTCGGATACTTTTCTCTATATTGATAATTTGATTTCGGGTGTTGCCTATCCGATCTGCTCACTAGATAAATCACTAGTCTGCTTTATTAAGTAAGGATTACAAAAAGCATGCTAAAAATGACAACAAGCAACGTAAACTACAAATATTACAACAACATCATTATGTTTTGTTATGGAAAAAATTGTTATCGCTAAAGAGATAAGTATGATCTACTTCCACCATATTAACAAAAAAAAATGGGAAATTTTAGCTATGATGCGACGGGGATGAGATGACTTGAATAGAATGCGTAAACAGAAGAAAAAAAACGATATCTAAATTGAACATCATATTAATATTCAATATTAAAGGAAAAAAAGTCTTAAAATAGAATTTTGTTATAAAACAGAAAGTGACTTTCGTTGGTTTAAGCTTTAATCTTGAACCAGAACGAAATCGAGAATATAAATTCCCATTATATCATTCTGAAACTTAAACTATCAAAACACAAAATCAATCCTTGCACGAAGCTAGGATCGAACACA